TGAGACTGACAGCAAGAAAATCTATTCACCGCTAAATTATCTGAATTCAAGAAGAATGCTGGATGTTTACAGTTGTGAGATAATATGCCAGTTCAGTGATTCGCGCACGTATTCTCGATGAGACTTCAGCGAAACTGGAAAGGTCTAACACATTCAATAGTGAGGTGGTTAATGGAGTACCTCATGCTGATATTCCATGGGTCCTCCAGTTCGCTAAAGCCTGCCGTGTGATGCGCGCGATAGCGGGCGAAGCAAAACTGGCTAGATTGTAGTGCACTGGCAAGATTAGATACATATTGATCGACTTGCCTGAACAAGCCTTCTACTCTCCAGCGATTCCAATCGATACGTACCTTCCTTGTCAGCGCAATATCCTACTCCACCGATATCCCTAATGATCTATCGCCCACTATCCTAATCTCCTTTGTTGCGACTGTGAACGCGGCCTAACAGCATCGTTCGCTTTTTAGTACGAAAGAGCATGCCAATTAAAACCGCCATATATTTTAATCTAGATCATGCGTAACACTGTCGCCTTAAAGGCAGAATTTGCGATGAAAAGTTAGCTTTTTGGAAATTAGGAGGAGACGTTGCATGGAACAAGGATCAAGAAGCCATCTGAAGGCGCCCCGGAAAACCCGAGAACGGGCAGTCTTTCCTTGCCCTTGACTTGGCCGCCATTATGCGAACTTCCATTGGCCGATGCAGACTTTGCGATTGGAGCGATTTGGTCAAGATGGGAGTAATGTGAATCGCGCGATGGGCGCCATCGCTCCCGTTGTGCGGGTCACAGGCCGTTGTGGCAGGGAGCAATCAATCGCTGGCGCGCCCCCTCGATCGATACGTTGACTGAGGAGCTGTGCTCTCTTCGAAAATACGCTCCCTCTGCTATCCAATCACTCGCCACCACATAGACCTGCGGCGGTGATCAGATGGTCGGTGGGCGTAACCCGCCAACCGCATCAAGAGTGAGTGTTAGCGCCTAGTCGTTGCTGAACCAATGGCCGTCCCCAAACATCATTTGAATCTTACACTTCATCAGTACACCTTTGAGTTGGAGCAGAAATTTAATTTCTGGAAGCTTACGGGAGAGGTCTTTTCATTGCTATCGAGCCAGTATCGAAGAACGGAAACGAAACCATATTGGGTGCTGTCGCAAGGCGCTGGTGACAACACATTTATAACTACGTTGAATATGTCTTTTTTTTTTTGCTGAGAATGGAACTAAGCATCAGATGGGGATTCCCCGAGTCCCTGCCCCTTCCTAGGATTAGTTCTTGGGGATGGGCTCATCCGACCACCTTTTTGAGGAGATTAGAATGAATGATTACTTTGTGGGCGTACTCTGAAGATTTTGTGTCAGCGAATGTCGGAGCCGCAAGTTACAAATTTGTAGTGGCTATCGGATACTGACAGCTACATATATTTCACCACTGAAGGAGTGCTGGGTTCAGCAATCTGCTCACGATGAAGGTCAACCTGCGAGTTGCAGCCTACAGATTACTTCCTCGTCTTTTCTTATTCGACATGCCGATGTCAGACTCTGCGATTGGAGCGATCGGTCAAATGTCAATCGCGCGACCATCGCGCGATTCGCGCGACGATCGCGCGATTGACATGAGTCCCATCATGACCAATCGCTCCAATCGCGCGATGGGCGCGATCACTTCCGTTGTGGCAGGCAACGTATTGATCAAAGGGGGCGCGCCAGCTATTGATCGCTCCCTGCCACAACGGGAGTGATCGCGCCCATCGCGCGATTGGAGCGATTGGTCATGATGGGACTCATGTCAATCGCGCGATCGTCGCGCGAATCGCGCGATGGTCGCGCGATTGGCATTTGACCGATCGCTCCAATCGCAGACTCTGACATCGGCCAATGCTCTCATAACCTCGTAAAGGATGACTAATGTGAAACGCAAACTGCCTACTGTTTTCCTACTGTGGAAGTTTCAGGAAACTTGTCAGAGCACCTTTTTTTTTCGATTAAAAACGTGATGTTAAAATGACGACATCGGCTGGGGATGCTTTATTAATTACAAGGGTTTTCGAGGTCAAATGGTTACGAAGCCGCTTTGCTTCATTCCTGAATCCGAGCACCGCCTCGCCAGCACTCACAAAATATTTTCGAGCGAGTTGCAGTAAGTTAAAATGATAACCCTTGGGCCTCAGAAGACGACGATTTTGTCGAAACGTTAGGCCGAACTAATAAATGTTCCACCTATAAACCTCGTACGGCACAAGAAACTAACACAAATAAAAGAATATAATTTCCGCTCCAACTTACGGGTGATGTAATGGAATTCACAAAAAGAAAACTCGAGGCCAAGCGCTGATCAAGAGTGGACCTTGGGTTTTCAAAAAGCTGCAAACAAAAACCTTTTATTACGCTACGAAAAGCTATAAACTCGCTTTTTGTCATAGCAAGTCACACAGGTTTATAGGCGACAGTCCGGGTGTTGCGATTTTGATCCTTACTAAAGCCGGGACAGAAAATTTGTAGCATTTATCTTTACAGAGGCTATCCAGGCGGTTGAAAATTGTCAATGAAAAGGTAAAGAGTCTAGTGAGTAAGAATTTGGTGGCATAGTTCTATTTCTCAGCTAGTTCATTTTTTGCAGGGTTGGTTCTTGCGGAGGGGCGCGGTTAGGACATCACGCGTCGAGTTCGCCTGGCGAGCGCATTTACATACTCTTGAGGGTATTGAATCTTGTTACAAATACTTTTAATGGTTCCGCCTGGACTCGAAAAGATCTGTGCATGCCGCAGATCACGCAACAGGCTGCACAACCTCTTTATGCAGTTCCACTTTTACGAAGTTTGTTGGCTCTAGTCATGATCGAACTACCTGTTTGACCGACGTTTATAGGTTGTTGCAAAGAATGCTTCCTTTGTTGCACATCGCAGTGCGATTGAAAAACGGGTCGTTTTCACTGTATGAGAGAAGTTAGGAGAAGGACAGATCGCTCTTCGAAGCCGCGATTTTTTGCTGCACCCCCTTATCCGACCTTCCCGCACTTTTCAACCTACTCGATGTGACTTGAAACCACAGATCAGTCGATATAAGAAGCAAAGTCCATATCTCGAAGTTTGATTAGGTGTCTGTATGGATTGACGTGCACTTGGTAGAAATTGCGCGGATGAGCTGCTTTCATTATGCTTCATTTATGTCCAGCGAAGTATGTTAGAAGCAGCTTATCCATGCGACTTCTATTCAGTTTGACGGCGGCCACGTCTAATCAATAGACATACCTATCCAGTCTTCTCGATTATCCTGTAATCTGAAAGGTGCGCACTGCTCCTGCTTGCTATGTAAAACGTTTCGTTCTTTCATGTACACAATGCCGCTTTCCTTAGGTCCAAGCTGGACATTACGTTTGTTTTACGTTTTAATGCGGGACAGTGAAGTGTACGCTGGGCCAGTGTGGCCTGACAATGAATAGCTGAATTGCTGCTGCACATCATGAACTTGGTCATCTTGTTTTAGAAGGGTTGTGCAAAAGCTAAGGGTAGACAGTTTGACAATTTTTCATAAAAATTATTATTTGCGATATTCATTAGTGTTGTAACAGTACACTTGTCAGAAAAATGTACACGTTTGGTAGTGATGATTTTGCCCGCGCCCCTGCTTAGCTTATATCTCACTGTGTTTTTATGAGTTCCTAATGATTGCAGTCTGGTCGTTCACCGCTGTCCTCCCAACAGCGATCCACAAGTTGATCGCTATATTCAGCCCAAGATTCCTCAACTTATCCTCGTCTTTGTTTGCGTATTGACGGTGCGTTGCCAAGTCCAGTCGATCGTGGTAGCGTCGTCAGACTGAGGTTATGTATTTTTATTAGATTAAAAAGAAGTTCCGCAACACTTTTCCCCACTTTTGGTTTTAATTTTACCTTTTTTTGTTTACAATTTCTGACCAATTGGATATACCATCTCTCGTCTCCAGTGTTCAGAAATTTTCTCGATGCTCCTACTCCAAAACGTGGTGGAGAGCAGGTACAAAACGCAGTTCACTCGTTTTTAAAGTAGAGTTGATCGTCTAATTCTTCCGTCATAAAGACGGTGAATAAACGTCCAGGGTAGTTGTAACCATTTAGGACTTCACCACAGGCTGGGAATGCGCTTTGTAGTGCGTACGGAGAGCTTCTTCAGCGCTAGACCTCTACCTCCTCCAACGATGTCCATATCGAAGAATTTGTGGTAGAACTTTCACAACGTTTACTTGTAGGGGGGTACGAGGCGCTGCAAACCTTTAAAAGAAATAACGAAGGATTGAAATGCTGTTACGAGTAAGACACTCTGTAGTGATGAATGACATTCCCATTGATGCTATTGGAGGTAGTATTGTAGTTGTCACGAATTCATAGCTATGTAGATATTTGTACTAGACAGTGACTCGGAGCACGGATTTGCTAGTGGTCGAGATTTTTTGAATTTTCTTGGATAACTACTGACTGCAGCACTTATATCCACCTCGTGGATTGAAGCCTTGAGAATGCTCTACCATTTGGTTAGTCATAAATGTTACCTATGAATTTTTCAAAAAAAAGAAAAATTTGAAAAGAGTGTTGCAGAACTTTTTTCCAATCTAATACATAGAGCTTCTTCAGGGGCCGCATGCTATCCTTCTTCAGGAAGAAGGGGGAGGGGGTGGGCGGAAATCCCTTGAAATTTTCTTTTCTTTCGAATCAAGATGGCCTTTAGAAAAGGGCTATTTTCAGTGCTTGTATGTGTTTGAAATAAGCATAACTACGTCGTTGAAAACGAATTAAATCAGAAAGTTTTTTCGATACTCCTCCCAGGGAGAAGGATGGCATACGATCTCAATGGTCTCATATTGGGGTAGAGATTTTGGATAAATGAATTGGTCAGGCTGGAGAGGTTTTCTATTACAAAGTGTTTGTGGGTTCTTGGATTTGATGAGTTTCAGGAAACATTTCATATTTTCAGTACTCGTTCCGAATTCCGTGAAGGCAGTGCGTAGGAGTTTGTGCGAGGGTATGAGTTTACCACGGCTACCTATCATCGCTGGTCAAGTTGCCATCGCTCCATCTCCTGCTCCACCTCCTGCAAGTGTTCCTCCTCCATCTGCTATTCGTGTTTCGTCGCTCCGATGTAAGTCTTTGTTTCATTTTATATGTAACATTTAGCATATTAGTCGTCACGTTTACAATTCTCATCTTTATAGCCGATGATGCCACCGCATCTCAGCCAAAGAAGTTGGAAGTGGTTTCCAAGCAAGCCACAAAAGTCACTGCCCTGTCAACCAAGCTCGAATGGAAAATCGATCAGGTCATCATTTCTTCATCGTTACTGCGCAGCTTTGATGTGTCACTTGGAAGGAAAACACATGGGAGAAGTGTCATAAAAACAACGGCTATCAGCTCCGAACTTTACAATCACCTTGTCATGCTAAGTTTTTTTTTTCGAGGACTAGAGGCCTCGTTGCCTTCTTTGGAGCCTGGAAAGTCAAAGATAAATGCGACCTGCTCTCCAAGCTCTATTTCAAATTTCAGTTCATCCTAAACTAAGGGGCTTCTATGTGGGCGTCGCATTTCTCTTTGAATTTCCAAGCTTACGATACCGACTGGGCCGAAACGTTAGGCTGGTGATGTTGTTGTGACATCTTGGTTGAGAGTTTACAAACACTCTCAAGCAAGAAACAGATCATATGCCAAGCTCATTGAAAGTTGAACATCGATCAATCATGAACTTTTGTGTTTGAGAACAGGTGAAAATCGGCGGTTCATCTTTACTACCTGCGCAGTAGTTGAATGCGCTGTATGTTATTGAACTGCTTTTAAATAGCGCTCAAGGATTAGTCAAGGACAAAGTCACCGTTTCTATGTGTTTGATAGCAATCCTTTTATCACATGCATACGTTCGTCCACATTCGAAATTAGGACGGGCGGGTAACCGCATCTAGCCGCAAAGGCGGTTTTGTAAGGTTGTGGTCTCACGACGTCGTGCTTTGTGTAGTGTTGAAGTGTTTTTTTTTGTGGTGTTCGCAATATGTTCATGGGCCAGTATCTCGGCGAAACGAGTGAGAAGTCTGATTTGTCAGCGTTTTTGAGTAATAACAAGGAACGTTACTCTTTTCAGTTCGAGAAGCTGATGAAACTCTTCAAAAATGGTCAAAACCTGATAAGTAGGCAGTTCGGTGTGCCTCAAGCTCCGACTGTGTGTTGGGAACTCCATGTGTATCCTAACGGGAAGCGAGAGGAGGATATGAACAATGTGTCTTTTTTCCTGCGTCAAGTTCGGGCTGCAGGTAAAGTTTTTTTTTCCGAAGTTCTGGAGAAACTCCATTTCGAGTGATAGGGGGGGGGGCACTCATTGTGATCTCTAATACTGAGGATAAGATAAGAGTTTTCATGATATGTCATCGATTTTTTTGTAATCACTTCTGACTAGGACCGGTGTAGTGTGGAAGTACTCCTGAGGTGCTTTCAGATTTCGGCCTGCTGTGGTCCAAGGAAATGGTCCTGAACTAGGGTATGGACATCCTTTCCTAGGCGCAAGGGTGTAGGAGCCCAGGGTGGACGATCACATGCCATAAATTGCCTAGGATGTGAGCAGGATGTGCGTGATGTAGGGCATACACCGGTCCTTATCAAGGTGTACTTGAAATGAGTCGTTTACCTATTATCTTATCCACAGGTTTAATGTCCGAAGGAGTGCTACGGATAAGGTCTTCCCCCTTCCTCTTGAATTGGTGTTTCACCCAAAGCTTTTAAATGATAGACGTGTTGAGTTCCATTACTCTTTATGAAATGCGTCTGTGCTTAAGCGTGGTGAGGAACCAATAATGACGGAATTTCAAATCTACGCACTAGATGTGAGCTCTCAAAGAGTCAGTGTATGTCGCGATACAAAGGATTTCACAAATCAACAGGGTCGAGGGAAATTTCAGGTCAGTTTGTTTCGTGAACTCTCAGACTTCGAGTTGCTTTTTTTTCGGTAGCTGAAGAGCGTGTCGGTCATCGCCACTCACACCACAGACATTTTTTGGCACTCTGAAAGATTGGATAGCATGCAGTCAATACCGCTGCCACTTGGTTACTTGGGATACTCAACGTTGAGGATTTGTAAAGCCATAGTTTCGCTCCCTATTTTTGGGACAGGAGTAATGCATCAGTGGTCCATGTTTCAAAGATTGCCTGCAAATATTAACATCGAGGCTGTGGAAGCTATTTTTTTGTTCTCAGATTGACACTTTAGGTCGAATTACGTTTTTTTTTTTCAGGTATCGCGGGATAAAATGGCAGGTGCGCTGAGAGCTGATGGTTCGCTTCTGTTGATATGCGAGGTCTGATTTTTTTTTCTGCGAAGCTTATAGTTAAGTAATGAATTTATCTATATTTTAACATTGGACGCGCTTGATAAATCTAGTGCCATATGCCTTGGGTGAGGTAGGAATCTTCGAAATTTAATACCTTTCCAAGCGGGACCACCCCTAAGAAGCCAACAGCGTAACATGTGCGCGCATGTAAATAATATCCACTGAAAGTGGACTCATAGAAAACAAATAGAATATTTCCCACATCCCGAACGTATGGCGAGAGAAAATTACTTCAAATTCATCGCAATCACGAGTGCGATTGGCACGGTACCATAATGACGATAGCGATCCGCGAAGTCTGGCACTTGACTGAGGGCGCGCCGTGAAATAAAATAAATGGCACCTGACTAATTGTGAGGGCGCGCCGTGAACGAGTCGGATTATTTGCTGTAAATTATGTCAAGAGTACACCCACAGAGTGTGCCTTTGGGCTCACTGGGAAAAATATTAATAGATCCTCTAAAATCATATCATCGGTCAATCACCATATGCTTGTCCTGGTTTTCAGGTCTTTGCTCACTTTGTTCAGGTTCCTAACTTATTCTGTAT